AAATCCGTACATCACACGTGTTTCGTACAAGCTTGACCTCGTTTTATTCGTTTTGACTGGATAACCGTGACCTCTGTCACACAGGGACCACTTTTTTCATTCATACATAATCGCGAGACGCCATTCATTTTGCAACAACAAGGCAGAACTGAAGCAATCTCATGATATTTACAAACACTGTATTAAACCACACGCATCAAATTCAGTTTGTATTCTATAAAGGTTATGCATAGAGCTTCTACAGACATTATAAAATCGAGCTATATCTATTTACAATGTACGACTACCGATCAATAGATGTTCCCCATGAGCGTGACGCACCCGTCCACTTTCGCAACTTTCAATTTGATTTAACGTAAAAGGATGAGCGTGGTGAAATGAAGCCAGTTTAAACTGTGGTTTAAACAGTGGTACAGTTAACATGGATGTCTGTGGCGAACACTCTGATTTCCCTCTTCCAAAATGGTACGGACATGATATAAAATCAGCTGATAGATCAAGGAAACCGAAACATTTTGAATGCACAGACGGGACCCCGGCAGCGCAAGTGACCGACTGTTGGTCCGATATTTAACGCGCGGCGCTGATGTGACTTTTCAAATTTTCTTATAGGTGTCCTTCGTACTAACAACATGGCGCTTGAATTACCCTAAGTTGAAGAAATTCTTTAAGAGGATCTTGAGCGTCGGTGCTGTTATGTTTGTTAATGCATATGCACAGAAATGTCAACAATGCTCATATTTGGGCATGTATCAATATTCATGCGCTACCAGATTTTGCAACCGGTTTCAGTTTGGTCTGTCAACGAGCGAAAGTTTTCATGTATTTACAATTAAATATAATATTTAACGTGGGTAATAAATAAAATACCACCCATTCTCTTAGATACCGCTTTTACGAATCTCGTGAACTCGCTTTCGCTCGGTCAAATACCATAGAAAGTCCACTTGTTTTATATAAATGGTATCTAACGAGAATGAGTGTAGTATTCTCTATTTATCATATAATGGGTAGGTTTCTCGGCAGGATAAAGCCAACGGGTAAAAACGATATCCGTTGGGGTCATATGCGGATAGAGATGCAAATATCAAAGGTCAAGTAGGGACTACTTTCACTGTTTATAAGCAAACATGGCGTCGCCCTCGTCATTCGGCGATCGAGTCAGATTTAACCATCGGGAATCTGGATAAACTACAGAGATAATTGCTTTCATTATCAAAAGAACAGTCTAATATACTGAAAATCAGTGTCTTACTGTGACGTAGCTAAGGCATTTTATAAGTTTTGGTAACTTTGGAGATATAAATTTCGACACTGCGGGATCAGTAGCCATATCTGTGCTTGTAGACCTCTGCGGCTTGAAACCTTCTACACAAATTAAAAAAGTTGGATTTGGCCGAAATATGTTTGAATTGTTACCTTTTTCGTTTTGTCGCCTTGTGTCCATCTGACTACACTTCTTAACGTTATGACAGACCGAGTGTTAACAACGTCTGACCGTGGCCGTGACGTCTCATAGACTAGGGCTAGAGTAGCTTCCCTTTGACAAAGGGTAGTTACTCTAGCGGACAGACTGGAGGATTGCCGCGAAAGGCAAATAAAAACAATTGTTGTTTTGCGTATATGTTGCTTCGCCACTGTATAAGATTTCAGTTGGAACTATATTGGCTACTGTCACTGCCCGACTGACACATCACTCACCCTGTGACGTAATAAATATTAATGCGCGCATTCCAGGAAAACTTGCAATGTTTGAAAGGCTCGCTAAATACAATGTTTATTCCTAATGCAGGATATTTACCATCCCCAAACACACTCGCGTGATAACCTCTATTTATTATATACATAAGTATGAAATATATAGCTATATAGTGAAAATATAAATGGTATTGTGAAATAAATTTGAAAAATGATATTTCACTGCAGTGAAAATATAAGCTTATATTTTCACCGGTGAAAATATAAGGTTTGAACCGAAACTACTTTCATCTCGAGTTACTTCCCCTTGATACAAAGGGACATAGTTTCATGATTACCTCCCTTGGATCGTCTGCTAGCCAAAACGAGCGACAACATAGAGAGAGGTGATGTGGATAATTTATTATCTGCAATAGATTACAGCATACTTGGTGATAAAAGGGTATCAATCTATCAGTGATGATGATGTTTCAAGGTTTCTTCGAGATCTGGAAAATGAAAACACAAGAAAGAAGACATATAGAGACATTAGAATTATCAGTGAGTACCTAGTGATGGTTGAGGGGGAAACTAGAAAAATTGAAGAAATCGATGCAGTATCTTTAGATTCCTATTTGTCAAGATTTTTTCTGTCAGTAAAAAAGAATGATGGATCAGAATATGAACCAGTCAGTCTAAAAAGCTACCAATCTTCCCTACAAAGATACATGAAACAAATGGGTTCTACATTTAACATCATATCCGATATCACATTTGCAAGATCTAGAGAAACACTCAAATGCAAACAAAAAGCACTTAAATCAGTGGGTAAAGGCAACAAACCCAAGGCTGCTGAAGAGCTGTCAGATACGGATATTGATGCCATGTACGATGTCAAGACCCTCGGAAGTGATAACCCACACAGCCTCCTTCACACCATGTGGATGATTTGTTGTCTGAACTTCGGCATGAGAACTGGAAAGGAAACCAGAAATTTACATTTGGGAGACATTGACATTAGAAATGATGATGATGGATCCGAGTATCTTATCTTTATAAGTGAGCGACAAACAAAAACAAGACCTGGGGATAATCCTAAAAACATAGGGCAAATAAAACCAAGAGCCTATGCAACACCAGAAGACCTGGAAAGATGCCCTGTCAATGCATATAAATTGTACAGACAAAGACGACCACCAGCCTCTTGTACACCAGACAGTCCATTTTTTCTAGCAGTCAATAACAACAGGAAGGAACGGTCGTACTGGTACAAAAATGCCCCACTGGGTGTCAACAAGCTTTATGGAATTATGAAGGCTATGACAGAAGGTGCTGACATAGCTGATGACAAAAGATTGACACCATACAGGTAAATATTCAATATCTATATTAGTTTTGGATAAACACTTTAGTATAATATTGGGAATTACAATGACAATCAGCCATAAAGTAAGTCAAAATAAATAAGATAATAAATATCAAATAAATGGCATGATATTGAATATACCTGAATCATTTGGGTTTTTGTTCAGTATGAGGAAACACCTGGTCCAGAAGTTGACAGACAGTGGCGTTTCTCCCAATGACATCATTCAGATATCTGGTGAGGAGACAGCTGTAAACAAAAAAAGATGAATTTATGAAATATTAATACTTCATATATTAAAACAATAAAAGTATATGGAAAAAAACATATTTAGAAATAAATTTTGAAGGTTGGTATTCCACTGAAGTGAAAATATATATTAATTTTATCTACACTTATTTAATAATTCTGGGGACAATAACAAATTTAGTTTCCTTTTTAACTATCAATGGTTAAAATGTGTTTGTAAAAGGTAGTTATATTAATTTTGTTGGTAATTTGAATATTATGAGAACATATATTGGTAAAAAAAATAAACATTTTGCCTCATCCTATAAACTTGTTGTTTTAAGACATTAAAGTAATGAAATACCAAATACATAATAACATACTCAAGTATGAATACTGAAAAGCAGAAGGGAATATCTCGCATTCTGTCGAACAGTAACACCGCCAGCAGCAGAGGCACAACAGCTGATCGAAATCCGGACTCGGCACCAATTCCGGGTGGATTTGCGATGCAAACTGTGTCCAACCGCCTTCAGAATCAACATTTTCTGACAAGCTTGTTGTCTGGAAATACCATCAACGGAAATGTTAACATACGTCTATCGCCTGACATGTTCAATGTATCAATGTCCTCCGAAAAAAACACTGCAAATGCGACAACATCGAACACACGTGAAGACGAGTTACCACCATTGAAAAGACCATGCTTGCAATAGAATGACAAGATCAACTTGAAATATGGCATAAATAATGTTCGTCATAAAATATTGGCAACAGAATATGTTTGGACTTACCTTTACACGTTCATATTCAGTGTTTGTTATATCCTTTTACGTTGTTGACTTTGGATTATTATGTATTCCTACGCATTGACGTTAGTGCGAAACATTGTTAGGACAATGAGTTGTATACAATAATACATTAAGAAATTGATAAAATGCCAATTTGAATAAATGTTTTTGATTCACATTTGTATTTTGTTTTCTTTGACAATTTGAAATGAGTATAAGTTGAGCGAACTATTTACTTCATCGTAGTAAAAGCGACAGGTCGTATGTGAACAGGTCGAGACGCGAGAAATATCGTCGTTCTCGGACTGGAAGATCTGACTAAATTTCAATTTAAAATATGTAAAAATGGGAGATGTATATAATAAATAGACTACTTCATGCTTTTTTGTCGAATACGATTTATATTTCGTCTCGTGAAGCCTCAAACCCCATATTGTTTCTCGATCTTCGATCTCGAAACAGTATGGGGTTTGAGACTTCACTCGACAAAATATAAATCGTATTCGACAAAAAAGCATGAAGTAGCCTCTATATATCTACAATGTAGATACCACTGCAATGAAATTGTATCACAATGCTTTGCGAACCAGTGTGACGTCATTTGTTACATGACGTCACAATCAAATGACATCACTAATGGCTCGGCTACTAAAGCTGTTACCACTACTCTTTACACTGCTTTTTACTGTCTACTGTCTACTTCAGTTGTTGTATGATAGTATATACATATATGCAAGTGCATATTTAGATATAAGGGTTTATCAGTACAACTCACTGGCATTTGGGGCTTACTGTCACTAAGGTGTGCCTTAAGGTCAGACTTTGTGACATATTAACCAGGTACATTCATGGATATTGGGCGACCCCATACTACCCAAAAGGGTACAGAAAGAGAGACTTTACTGTAAAAGTAAATATTATTTTCTTTTGTGTTGCAGCAACATGGGTCGGCGGAGGTTTCATCAACGGGACTGCAGAAATCGTTGCCAAGAAAGGGTTTGCTTGGATGCAGGCCCCAATTGGCTACTCGCTCTCACTTATCATTGGTAAGCTTTTGGAAAATAATGATGATACCAGGTGTTCGCGAAAAGGTGAGCATATCCCGCCCCGTCCGTAGCACACATACACAGATATGTCAGCTGTTCACCTGTAAGTCAAAATAGGAATTGCAACGGACATCATTCTGGTCACTGATGCGTCAAATGTGGAAATGTCCATCACAATCCCACCATAAAACCTTTTCAAAGATTTACCGAGTCCTTGAATGTTGTGACCTTGATCAAACAACTTTCGATAACGAGTCATACGACGCTCTTTGAAGTATTTATGGAATGACCTTGCTCGATTGTACCTCAAACGTGAAATATAGACACCTCAAAGGCTTAGCTGCTGGAATGTTGCTCCACGGGGGAAACTTGACTGTCGGAAAGATGAAGTCATCCCTCTTGTCATGTAGTCTGGTAGAGAGTTTTATGTCACTCTCTTTATGCCTGTGCAGAGTTGCGTCCCCTGGGCACGCCAGAAACCTATGATTGTGGGTTCGAATCCCGGTTCGCCCCGATTATGTTTCTAGGTTTGTCAGCACCATACCTGTGCTCGTGGGTTTCAACGAAGTGATAAACGTCTGAGACCTGCATCACTTCGTGCTTTCTTCCCACATTAAGCTGACACGCCAGGATATAACTAGAATACTGTTAAAAGCGGCGTTAATCCCAACTCAATCACTCTCGTTATGCATATCTCGACATGAAACAAGTTGCACTGGCCTCTTCTATTTCTAGTCCAGTAGGATGAAGTAGCAAAGGCAGGGAGACCATACAAAGATAGACTCCCTGGTGAAAGGGAATTGCACCAATTATCCTGTATTTGTTTCTTACAGGTGGTATTTTCTTTTGTCCCCGACTTCGTCGAGACAACTGCGTTACAATGTTTGACCCTTTCCAAGACCGCTACGGACGGTTGATGGGCGCTCTCATGTGCATACCTCAGTTCCTGGGAGATCTCTTCTGGACAGCCGCCATTTTGTCCGCCCTTGGTACGTGTGAAGCAATTGCTTTTGTTATTTGATTGCATACATGCCATTCGATGAATGCCAGGTGATAGATACACTTTAGTGGCAGGTAAAAATATATATAAAATGGATGGCAGGTAACATAGATTTAATGGGTTGCAGGTAATACACATACGATGGGTGGCTAGTACATATAGGTATACATGTTTGGTGGCGGGTAATATACCTACGTTGGGTGGCAGGGAATATACATACGATGGGTGGCAGGGAACATACATACGATGGGTGGCAGGGAATATACATACGATGGGTGGCAGGGAATATATCTATGTTGGGTGGCAGGTAATATACATACGATGGGCGGCAGGGAATATACATACGATGGGTGGCAGGGAATATACATACGATAGGTAGCAGGGAATATACCTACGATGGGTGGCAGGGAATATATCTATGTTGGGTGGCAGGTAATATACATACGATGGGTGGCAGGGAATATCAATACGATGGGTGGCAGTGAATATACATACGATAGGTGGCAGGGAATATACATACAATGGGTGGCAGGGAATATATCTATGTTGGGTGGCAGGTAATATACATACGATGGGTGGCAGGGAATATACATACGATGGGTGGCAGGGAATATACCTGCGATGGGTGGCAGGGAATATGCCTACGATGGGTGGCAGGGAATATACATACGTTGGGTGGCAGGGAATATACATACGATGGGTGGCAGGGAATATACCTACGATGGGTGGCAGGGAATATACCTACGATGGGTGGCAGGGAATATACCTACGTTGGGTGACAGGGAATATACAAACGATGGGTGGCAGGGAATATACATACGATGGGTGGCAGGGAATATACCTACGTTGGGTGACAGGGAATATACCTACGATGGGTGGCAGGGAATGTACCTACGGTGGGTGGCAGGGAATATACCTATGTTGGGTGGCAGGGAATATACCTACGATTGGTGGCAGGGAATATACATACGTTGGGTGGCAAGGAATATACCCACGATGGGTGGCAGGTAATATACATACGATGGGTGGAAGGTAATATACCTACGAGGGGTGGCAGGTAATATACATACGATAGGTGGCAGGGAATATACCTACGGTGAGTGGCAGGGAATATACCTATATTGGGTGGCAGGGAATATACCTATGTTGGGTGGCAGGTAATATACATACGATGGGTGGCAGGGAATATACATACGATGGATGGCAGGGAATATACCTACGGTGGGTGGCAGGGAATATACCTATGTTGGGTGGCAGGGAATATACATACGATGGGTAGCAGGGAATATAACCACGATGGGTGGCAGGTAATATATATACGATGGGTGGCAGGGACCAATTCCAAGATATCTGCAACGAAGCTAACTTAAACGAAATAGAAAATAATTATCCAGAAACCTATTGTAAAAACCTAACAGACTATATAATAAACGTTTCCAAAACCTCCATCCCCTTCAAAACATCTAAGACAGGCAAACCCACGGTACCATGGTGGAATGAGGAAATAGAACAGACTAGACGAAAACGTAAATCAGCCTTCAATAAAGCAAAACGCGACCACAAACATCTAAACATAGCCCACGAACTAAACCACCAGGTTCAAAAACTAGTCCAAATAGCCAAAAGTAGAGACTGAAAAAAATTCTGCGAAGGTATAAATAACCGTACAGATGCCAGAACGGTCTGGCGCAAAATCCACGCCATTAGAGGCTTAAAACGACATAAAAAAACTAACATTAACAACTCAACCAACCCCGCCCAAAAAGCAAATAATCTCGCCAACCACTTTTCGGCCGTTAGCAGTAACACCAACTTCAGCTAAAAATTCCAAGATAAACTTAAAACAGAAAACAAACCCACAAAAGAACCAAACAATAACAATCTAGAAATAAACCAACCCTACACAATGGAGGTGCTCCTCTACGTAATCCAAAACAGGAAAAAGGGCACAGCCCCAGGATTAGACCTAACTTCTTACCAAATAATTAAAAAACTCCCCCTAAAACTACTCCAGGCACTACTCAAACTATACAATCTCATCTACCTAAACGGACAGGTTCCTACTCCCTGGAAACAGGCCCCAGTCATACCAATCCCTAAACCTAATAAACCAGCTAATCAAGCTAACTCATATAGACCAATATCCCTAACTTCAAACTTATGCAAAGTAATGGAATCAATGGCTAAAAATAGATTACAACATTACCTAACCCAAAATAACATCATAAACCCAGATCAAAGCAGTTTCACTCCTGGCCGCTCAACCCTAGATAACCTCGCCCGACTAGAGCAAGATATTTAGACAGGACAACTAAATAAACAATATACCACAGGCATCTTCTTAGACTTCTCTAAAGCTTTCGACATGGTATGGCACGACGGGCTAATACAAAAACTTTAAAAAATAGGACTCAAAGTTCAGATAATAAACTACACCCAGGACTTCCTAAACAATCGTAAAATAACCGTGGGTATAGACCAAACACTATCAGAACAATGTCCCCTAGAAAATGGCACTCCCCAGGGCAGTATCCTCAGCCCCACCCTCTTCAATATAATGATAAACGATCTATTCGAGGGCCTATCCCCTTAACTAAACACATCATAATTCGCGGATGATGGAGCCCTCTGGATCCGCACTAAAGCATTAAAATGGCCAAAAATTTACTCCAAAAATCTCTTAATAAAATACAACAATGGGCCGATAAATGGGGCTTGTCCCTTAACTCAGAAAAAACAACAGGAATAGTATTCAAACATAAAAACATGAAACCCGCCTCCAGCTAAACATCAAAACAATCAAATTTCAAAAACAACCCAAATTCTTAGGACCTATTTTCGATGAACATCTCTCCTGGGATGCCCACATCCAAACCCTATAACTAAATGCAGTAAAGACCTAAACACGCTAAGATGCCTAACTGGCTCCAACTGGGGAGCCTCCAAAGATACCCTACTCTCTCTCTACATATCACTAATTAGATCCAAACTAGACTACGGCTGCGCCATATACAACACCCTAAACAACTCTCTATCTAAAAAACTTGACTCAATACAATATCAAGCTCTCAAACGTATTACACGCACCCAACATGGCACCTCCTGCACTTCACTTCAGGCCTTAACAGGAGAAATGCCACTAAGTCTACGCAGGGAACAGCTAAGCTTAAATTTCTGGGCCGCGTCCCAATCAAACCATCTCATCCAAAACTAAATAAACCAAAACATCAGCCCCAAAAACCAAGCTCTAGCGCGTAAACACCCCTAACTTACCCCAATATCCCAAAGAATAACAAACTACCTAAATGAACACCAAATTAAAAATCTTAAACAAAACTGCAAACAATCAAATATCTTCACCCCTAAACTTAAAATACCCAAAATAGACACAACACTAGCTAGCCAAATAAATAAACAAACCGACCCAAACATAGCTAAAACTACCACACCAGCATACATACACGAAAATTGGCCAAATTGGTGTCACATTTACACAGACGGATCTTCAGATCCGTCCTCCAAACACACAGGTTTCGGAGTCCATACCACACAACCAGCTAAAACCACACAATCCTTCCGACTCCCGAACAACCAATCAATATTCATGGCAGAACTAATGGACATGGCCTCAGCCCTCCATAATCAACAATCCAAAAACCACACAAAAATCCTAATACTTACCGACTCCCTAAGTGGACTGCAAGCCCTCCAAAACAAAAATACCAAAAACCGACCTAAATTAATAAATCAAATACTTAAAAGCTCCAACGATCTAACTAAGGCAGGCAAACAAATAACATTCTTATGGATCCCCGCCCACGTAGGAATATACGGTAATGAAAACGCCGATAAAGCAGCTAAACAATCCCTCAAAATCCCAGAAATAAGCTTAGACTTACCCATCTCAAAATCAGAAATTAAAAGTGTAAACAAGCAAAAAATCACCAAAAAATGGCATAACCTATATCTAAACTCAAATAGCCAAATCAAAAAAGTACTCAGCAAACCACTAACCAAACCAAAAACTCTCCATCCATCAAAAAAAATTCGACAGAGTAATCACTAAACTCCAAACAGGACACACCAACCTAAATAACCACCTAATTTATTTTTTAAAAACACACTACAGGTAACTGCCCACACTGCAAACAACTAGAAAGCCCAGAACACACACTCATCCACTGCACACACTACCTAACACATCGAACCGCATTACAAACCACCCTCAATCTAAACAAGGCTCTCACTCTAGACGCAATACTAAACCCACAAAATAAACTAGAAAACCTCAAGGCCTTAGGCGTATTCTTAATCAAAACGGAACTAATAAAACGCATCTAAAAACAAAATAATCTACCAAATCAAAATCACATAAACAAACAAACATCAACCATCTCAAAATTCCCAAATTCTATATAAGCAACCCCTAAAGCCCCCTCTTGGGTTGCTCGCACCACTTTCGCCCCTTTCGGAAACACATTAAATGGCCTGGCCGGGCCCGTGTGCGAAATACGCATCAGTCGGAAAGCGCACGTTAAATCTCCAAAGTAAGTAAGTAAGGCACAATGCGCCATAAACAATGTTATTCTCAGAATTAGGTGTCTATATATGCTATATCGCCTGAGGACAACTTCCTCAGTCCAGGGTGAGTAGTCATAAGATTCATGTTCTCGTTTCAGGCTCCACGATGGCTATCATCCTTGACCTTGATGAAACACTGTCTGTTATTATTTCTGCCGTCATCAGCGTCTCTTACACCCTAGTTGGCGGCCTCTGGTCTGTCGCCTACACAGACATTGTCCAGCTCATATGCTTAACTGTAGGCTTGGTAAGACCAGCATCACAGCAAGAACACTGATCTACATATAAATATGATATAACCACACACGTGTATCCATTTCTGTATTGTTCTATTTCTCCTTACTGAAGAATTCCGAATCATGTACGTGCTTCCAGATGATGTATTCCGCGCGTTCATCTGGAGCTAATAGCAGATAAATATGTTAATGGACACAAACGAGAACTACTGCGAGTATGTATTTTTAAAATGAACAATTTCAGTGTTGTACCTGAAATGGTGTATAATGTTACATGTCCCCATGTATGAGGGTGAGGTTACATCCTATATGCAGTACAACAATGTCCTTCTAGGTTGCTGCCGCCCCCTTCGTCGTGAACAACCAAGCTGTGGACTTGCATAGGATCCAGGACACGTGGCTAGGGGAAGTGTCTCTGCAGCAGACAGGTTACTTTCTCGACCGTTATGGCCTTCTAATCCTTGGCGGCATAACGTGGCAGGTAGGACTTGTCTAGGGCGGCCAGCTCACATAGTCGCACGTCATTACATATCAACAAAACATATTAAAGTGGTTTCAAATACGTTTTTAGTAGATAAAACAAACAATACATGCTAATAATTATGATTCCAACATTACAACCGCACGACTGTTCTTGGACACGCAAGAAACCTATGATTGTGGGTTCGAATCCTGGTTCGCCCCGATTATGTTTCTAGGTTTGTCAGCACCATACCCCTGTCCGTGGGTTACACCGATGTGGTAAACGTCCAAGACCTGCATCACTACGGGCTTTCCTCCAAAATTAAGCTGACACGCCATGATATAACTGGAATACTGTTCAAAGCAGCGTTTAACCCTACTCACTCACTCACTCACTCACTCAATGACGGAATTTGCAAAAAGGTTTTTGGCAAGATATACCTGCAAATAAAGCCCAACAACAGGGAAGCCGAGCGAGGTTGAGAACACATGCTTTCCCTTGTCACTGACACCTGGTGTCATCACTGATTTTCATATTATTCAATTCATATTATTTTCACAGCTATTTTTCTCCAAATAGAAACTGTTTCGCTGATAATGGAGACTTGTTATTTTCTGGCTTTGACGTTTTATATTTACTTAACTGGATCGATGCTTCTGCTAATGCAATAACGTCCCCGAGTTTCTCAGCAACTCAGTCGTATTTATCGCTTATGCTGAGTCTTTTCACCAGTATCTCTGCACTAGGACACAGCAGGCGTAATTCAAAATTAACATATCGTTGTTACTACTTTCAACTAAATCAGTAAATGCTCTATCGTCTCACTGGCTTTTCCGGTTCATCGTTCACTTGATTGTCTGGTTTGTTTACAGACTGCTGTCAGATGGCAGGAGTACTGCTGTACGGCATCAGGCAATAAATGTTTTCTTTTTTATGCAAGTTGTGTGAATGGAGTGTGCTCCCAGAAGGGCAGGACATTCTTTTTGCAAACCCCTATAGATAATATCACAGCTATTTTACCCTTCGAACAAGACAGAATCTGTCTAGGGGGGTGGTCGGGACTGGTTATTCTCTGGTGTTTACGGTTTATATTCAGATATTAAGACGGACTCTCCCTCATGGCGTCAGTAGCACTGCTCAAGCCTTCCTTGTTCAAAGTATGCTTTGGATGATACAACCATTATCAACCAACTCGTGCTATTCAAAGAGATGGAAAGTTACCTTGCAAATCGATTATACTTATAACATAACCTAAGCATAACAAGGCTAATTTCCACTGTTATCAACAGTGTGGACGTAGCTCTGTCGGTTACTTTGTCCGACAGACAATTCGAAAGATTGGGACCTCAAATGCATGTGACAGGTGACTTAATGTCATGTTACTTAATGACAGGTGTCTCAAAGGCATGGGACCTAATGACATGAGGCTCAATGACATGTGGTTTATTGGTTGTATATAACGGTAGTAATACACAGTCATTGCAGAACCCTATTGGTTGTTTAAAAAACTAGAGATACACATTGTCAGTGCAGAATCCCATTGGTTCTATATGAAGCCATTAATAACAATTCTCAATGCACAATATCCCACCCGTGGCCATATTAAAGGAAGGGAACAAAAGCTGCATGTATATCGATGATTTGATATTGTTCAATGATGTTCAAATAGTCAATTTTCTTCCACTGATTTACACACCTGAGCTGAAAGAGCCAAATGAGACAGGCTGGTCTGTTTCATATTTAGATATGTGCATAAATTTTCAGAGTGACAACAACTCTCCACAAGAGTTTACCTTTGTGTTGACCACATTCCAGGAGCTCCAGCCTTTGATGTGTACATTTCACAACGTTTGAGGTACAATCGAGGATGCTCTTTCATCGAAAAATTCAAAGATTTCTTGTGTCTATGGAAAGAGTGTTGTCACCTTTATTGAATACAAAGCTAGTAACACACATTCTCAATGCTGAATCCCATTTGTTTGCGTTAAGGCTGGTTACACAAATATTCTATACATAATCTGAAATATAAACAATGCTATTATTAGTTATGGTGTCTTTAATTGACTAAACTAAAGACACCATAACGAATTTATTATGCCGGAACGTTTATGCTATTTGGTATCTTTGTCGCACATGTCATGTCAAAACCTAAAACTCAAAACTTAACACTTACTACCAAAGACGTTAAGGGTCAAAGGGAGACCACTCTTCAAACCTTAGAGGCCAAACCTTGTTGATAATTTAACTTTATATATATCTTATTAAAGCCACGAACGTGATCCAAAAAACATGAACGTCCTTGCACATCAAATTTAATTATATTAAAACACAAAACAGTGTCGAATAACGAATTTCTGTACCAGAATTTTCATGTGAAATATGGGAGGTGGGTGTTGAAAAATCCAAGATGGCTGTTACTGACGTTATACGGTCTCATATCAGGTCAGTATCAACCATCTTGGATTTTTACTGATTGGTCAATCTCACTTTGAGGCAAAATAAAGGTGTATATACAATAGCAGAAGGCCAGGGGTCAATCCACGGTCATGCATCCCCAAAAGAAGTTAAAATATCGAACTTGTTGTTACCCTGCCTGGCGCTCGGTATCAAGAAGATGGAAGGATTTGTCGGCTCTGAGTCAGTATACTGTGTGTGAGTAATTATTAAAGGAATTATAAAGAAAAGTATTAATAAAAACAGGGATAACATCTTGTCTATTGAACAGGAGATGTATCAACGCACATTGGCCTGCCGTACAACAAGACAAGCTGTAGCGTCATCGGTAGCAGCTGGCATCATGTGTCTTCTTCTAAGCATACCACCTGCTGTTATCGGGTTCGCAGGATCTGCTGCAGGTAATCTCCATTGTAATAGTTATCGTCAATCGTATTTGTTTTGTTTGTCTATATGTCTGCTTATTGTGACTATTGCCACTAACCCTAATACATGTGCGTAAGACAGGTGAACCAAACAAATCTCCTTTTTGTTTTGACAGTGATACGAATTATGAATGCCCCTGAAGCATGGGCGAATATATCAATTTGGAACACTCAGATTGGAATGAGACTGGTTGTAAGGGTTTGATCCCCCTTACCGAGGAGTTTCCTGATAATTGTCACATCTATACTTTAACACTCAGATTGGAATCAGACTAGTTATATGGGTGACATCCCCCTTGCCGAGGAACAGATGCACTTTATCCTGCCCATGGCGCTACAGTACCTCTGCCCCATGACTGTTTCCATCCTTGGACTGGGTGCGGTCTCAGCAGCCGTCATGTCATCCACAGACTCCAGCACACTTTGCACGGCTTCAGTCTTCACCAAGAACATTTACAAGAGCATCATCAGAAAAAACGTAAGCACCACCATCAATCAAAAGAGCAAGTGACGTTATACCGGTAAAATAATCTGGGTTTTAAGATTTATAGTATTTTACTTTGGCTGTTGCTACACTCATTTGACAAGGAAACTCAATAACCACGTAAGTGTGTTTGAACGCATCTTTACTCTTCTGCTTCCCATCTTGTTTCAGGCCACTGATCGGGAGATGGTGTGGGTGATGAGAGTGGCTACCGTTGCTGCTGGTGTCCTTGCCACCATCATAGCCATCGTTGTAAAGAGTGTCTATGGACTTTTCATCCTCTGCTCTGACTTGATGTACGTGATTCTCTTCCCACAGTTCATCTGCGTTCTCTTCATAAGCAGCTGTAACACGTACGGGTCCTTTGTGGGGTTTGTGGTGGCGTTCACCCTGAGGGCATGCAGTGGCGCCAAGCTGATCAACTTCCCTGCTGTGATACACTTTCCCTTCTACAACCAAACGGATGGCCAGTTGTTTCCCTTCCGCACACTTATTGCCGTCATCGGATTCTTCCTCACAATATCGGTGTCAGTGGGAACCAAACTACTGTTTACAAGAGGATGGATATCAATGAAATATGACATTTTTGATTGTTTTGCACCCCTTCAGCGTTCGAACGCAATTGAGCAGCCAGAGGCTGTAGAAATGCTGCCCGAATCTGATCGACAGAAGGGAAATCTTCAGCAACAGCACATGTGATCGAATTTGATCGAGTTTACAAGCACGTCAATCAAACCACACGATCCCATTATAATTGGTGAACATAAGTGATGATTGAGGGACGAGCGAGGGTGGTGGGATCTTTTGTCTGACATGATTCTTCTGTGAGGGTGTTAATACCCTGAACTTTTCGTTTCGTCCAGTCAGCAGCACCGCAGGAATACAAAAGGATGTGTAGATCATAAATATTTATGCGTTTGACTTTAATGCAAGCGTTCAGCTCTGAACTCAAGGTTTTCTTAAGTCTACATTTGGTTTTGACAGAAGTTTTTTTCCTTAAATGGACATTCTGGGGTTTGTTTCTAATCTGCATCACAAAGTACCTACAGGCCTGACCATTCCATTAGATGGTCAAAAACTCCTCACCGAAGAAAATTGACTGATCCTCCCTCTTTTACCTTGACACATTTCAGATGAAGAGTGTTGAAACTGTCGAGCTCAAAGGACATGCCAATATCATTAGAAAAGGACCTGACTGTTTTTAGTGTGGGTTCTCCTTTGACAAGAAGTTAAAGGTCATCCATGTAAAGGAGGCGATAAAGAGATGTTGGGGATCTGTGCTGATGAGGTCAAGGATAATAACCTTCGTCTGTTAAGCAAAAAGAAAAAAGGGTTAAGTGACAAACAGAAAACCAAAGGACTAAAAGAATTGCCCTGAAATATTCCTCTTCTATTCTAAATGGGCTACGAAGTCACCACCTTCCTCTGCGAAGACATCTCAGGTTGAGTTGACCAACAATTCAAGAGTTGAGTGAAATAAGTAGTTATTCGGGGAGGTCATTACATTCCAGTGACATCAAAATCCATTCATGAGGAACAGAATCAAAAGCTTTTCTGTATTTTTTCCAACACGTTAAAAGGTTGCATTGTATGTTTTTGCATCCTCAGGTATCATTTCTTGACCCAACAGTTGATGCTTGCAACCCCAACATCCCTTTGTGGCTCCTTTCTGCTCCTTATAAACAATATCAATGGAAGCACAGTATGATGACACGAATTCTGTAATACACACCGGCAATATTTTGTAGGGTTGTTTCAAAAGGTTATAGGGCAGAAGTCTTTTTAGGATCAGCCAAATCATCTTTATTTGGGAGAAGTATTGTTCGCTTTTTGCACAACCAAGGAGGAACATTTGTATCTAAAAGAGAAACAGTTAAGTGAAGGTGTTTGCACACACGGGAACAGTTTTCAATAGATGTTTCGAATACCATCAGGCCCTGAATTTTTTATTACTTTGTTAAAGCAATCAGGTGTCTTGAAACACAAACAAGGGTGATCTTATTTTGTCATGAACATTTTCACTGTAATCTCTCAACCCATTGATGCAGTTTTCCAAAACCATTTTACTTGAATCCATGGTGGGTCGTTTCTAATCAATGCCATTGGTTGCATTTAAGTGCCTGTAAAATTGTTTTCCATTAGTTTTGAACAGTCAGACTGGTTAGTCTCATCATCAGCTCAGGGCCCTTGACTTCTCCCAGAAAGCGCTGCCTTGTCAAACCCACCCAGAACCTTTCGGAGAATGTGAAGACTAACCAACACTGCAGCCATCTGCATTACCCAGATTGTCTGAAGGGCTGTATTCCTAGTAGCTCCCAATGTCAGTCAACAGATTGGGAGGTACCAAACCTTAAGCACCGAGAACAATGGGGAGTCGGACAACTTGGTACTTGGGATGCAAGCGTGACATTTGCCATGTTTTTCCTGAATCACATTGGTGTCATAAGGGACCGATTTCATTGGGTTTATCAAAAAGGACAAGATCAGATTCATTGGCCTGGACACGTCTGAGGCTGTAAATGGGCCTATTCCAAAGAGTTTTGTATTGATCATTTTCCATTTCCCTCTACATATTCCGGGTCGTACCATGGATGGACCTCTGTGTCAAAAGCACAAGCATTGCAAAGACGGTAATAATAATGATCGAACCACTCCATCATGTCGTTTAAGATACTGTGTTTGTGCTAAAGCTGGGCATCCACTGACAATGTGGTGGACAGTCTCATTAAATTCATTACATAATCTACATTTTATATTTACATTTTGATGCAAAATCACACATTGACAATTTCGAGTGGGAAGTGACTGGTCCTGAGCAGCTTACCCTTCTGTTATACTTTTCAGGCCAGCCGACCTCATCCAAGCTAAGGACTCTGTAGGGTTGCTGATCTTTTCAACACACTGCACATAAACTCGATGCAGTGGTCGTTCAGATAGCCTCTCCTTGAAAACCTGAATCTGGACCGATTTTATGTGGCACTTCGCTTGGTTGACACTCATTTCTGTCCCGTCCAGCAGTGCAGAACCATCAACAAAATCAATACTGACATTGAGATTATGTTCCACATCCTTGGATCGTTTACGAAAACTGCAAAATGCCTTGTTTTCATCATGAGTCTTGATATGCATCACAAGAGAATCATCAAACTAATAAATGTGTGCAAAAGTTCTATCATGAAGAGCCCGAACGTTAATCAAACCTATAAACCTCGACCTCCAATTATGATTGGTAAATATAATAAGCGATTGAGGGAAGAGTGAGGGTGGTGGGATCTATTGTCTGACATTATTATTATGATTCTTCTTCTTCTTCTTCTTCTTCTTCTTCTTCTTCTTCTTCTTCTTCTTCTTATTATTATTATTATTATTATTGTGTACAGATTAAAATAAAAAATGCAGCAAAGATGGTTTGGGTGATCCTGGCACAGTCAGGCTGGTTAGGCTCATAATCAGGTCAGGGCCGTTGCCCCTTTACACGCAGCTCAGAGAGCGAATGGGACGAGAAACAGGAAAATTTCTCAGAGACATCGTGCAAATGGGTTATCCATTAGAATTAGCTGATTCGCAAGTGAAAGTAGTGGAGGACAATGAAAGAGCCACAATCAACAGAACAAAAACAAAAACAACACAAGAGAAAATAAACAAAGGAAAAGATACACCTATGAGAAGAAAACTCAGGATTCCAGATATCACAAGCCACATGGGAGAGAATACAGATTTTAAAAGAAGGGACAGTTTCATGTTTATAAATCAAAGTGTGTATAGTGTGGAGGTGATTTTCCACATCAAGGGGATTGTCCAGAAAGTGGAAACCCTTCAACTTCTGCAAGAAGCCAAATCACTGTATGAAAGCTGAGAAACAGTACCACGGGACAGTACCACTGGCACATCTGAAGACACATATTGCTACATGATCAGTGTGGGGAAAAGCAACAAGATCTCGCAAGTAAATAAGAAGCATTCAGCTGTCATATCAATAAAAATAAATAACAAAACGTGACATCTTGATAGATACAGGAGCGTCAGAAAACAATACTGATCAGAATCTGTATAAAAAGATTAGTAGTCCCAAAATGGAAAGAAGAATGAAAGTTGACTTGTTTTCTTATGGATCCAACACAGCCTTAAAAATCTTAAGACAGTGTCACAGTACTGCTAAGCTCAAGGTTCTGCTACCATCTCCTGCATGGGCACGTAGAGGCAGAATGTTGTCTGCTGGGTTGTCCTTTCCAGGACGATATTTGATCATCATCTTATAGGGTTGTAGCCTTAATCCCTATCATTTTATGCATAGCGGTGGTTTCGATTCCTGTCAGATGTGTTCAAGGGGTTTATGTTCTGTGTCGACTGTGAAATGTGGTTCTCCACATACATACAAGGTGATATGCTTGCAGGCCCACACTGCTGTTAGTGCTTCACTTTCTGTTGGGCTGTATCTTGATTCGGTTCTCCTGCTGTATGAAACAACCTGGCAGCCTATTGTCAATATTGCTCCCAGTCCACATAGTCTAGCGGAAACGATAATCTTTGTTTTCATTTGCGGATCAAAGTATATATTGATACAGTGTTTCGAGAGTGTTTCTTTCAGGCACTGGGACGCCAAGTCATGTTCTGCTTTCCAGCTCTAATCAGAATCCTTTCTTTTGAGTATTCTCAATGGCTCTGTTAATGTTGCATAGTGTTTGATAAAGTGACCACAACAGTTCATCAAGTAAGCTCTTCATATCAGACACGTTTGTCGGCTTTTCAGTGTTTTTTGTGGCCTCCACTTTCTTTGGGTCCTGTGACACGCCATCCGCACTTAATATCATACTAAAGAATACTCAGTGATCTTTGTAAAACTCACATTTTTGTTTGTTTAGAGTAAGGCCTCTGTCCTTCGGTCTTTTGCACACTGAATCTTCTGTTATATTATGCTCTCCTCTGTTTTAGCCGTAGATTATTATATCATCACTGCAGCTTTTGAAATTCGGAATGTCTCGAAAGACTTCTGGTCTCTTCCGAGGCAGTTGATACTCCAAATATGTGTTTCTTCTAGCGGTACAGTGCCATATGTGTGCGGAACGTTGTAATTAGGCGGAATCAGGATGTAATTTAGCCCGTAGGTCCTCGAAGTGAAGTTTCCGGTCCATGACAAGATACTGACTCAGTTTGGCATGCCAAAGGTGATCAAAACAGATAATGGTAGCCCTTTCCAAAGTCACGAATTTGCACAGTTTGCTGATTATAAAGGTTTACCTACAGAAAAGTGACACCAGGGTACGTGCCCAGCCCGCCGGTGTCAACAAATCGGTGACGAGAGCAATAAGAACTGCAGTGTTGCAAACCAAAAACTGGAAGCAAGACGTACACACTTTCCTCTAACAATATTGATCTATTCCACATGGAACAACCCTGGTCTCCCCTTTTGAGCTAGTGTTTCAGAAACCGGTGTGAACAAAACCTCCCCAGATCAACGAGAAAGTAGAGTCGACTGATCTTGATGTCAAGGAGAGAATCAATAATGAGAAAGCCAAACTGAAGTATGCTTTTGAAAGAAATCATGCAATGCACCATGGATTTAATATTACTGATACAGTCCTGCTGAGGACAGAATACACATCAAGCAAGTCCGAGACGTTTTGGAATCGTGGACAAAGAGGAACAACGGTGGCAGCACCCAATCGCAGTAGGAATAAAACAGTGACAAGAAATGCACCATTTTTAAAGAAATCTCTAGCAGATTCCCGTGGTGTGATGGAAACTGTCGTGGATAAAGAATGTGAGGTCCCTGACGCCAACTGTAACAAAGTGAACAGTGACACTATCGTTACTTTCGAAAATCCTCCTCAATACACCAGACAAGTGCGTGTGAGGAAAGAACCTATCTACCTCGAAAGTCTATGTTTCATACTGACTGTTCAC